TACTTTACCTGCTACAGCAACAGTGTCACACACCTCGATCAATTTGCAACCTCAACTCACAGAGGAACATAGGCTCCGCGCAAACAAAACGTCATTATACATTCTCAACATATTTCTCCACCCCTATAAATAATCGCTCTACATAGTCTGATGCCTAAGTCTTATGAGCCGTACAACTTCTTAACCCAAAGTTAGGACGATTTTATTTGTCGTATATTCGTTCCGTTGAAATATTTATACGTCACATAAGGAATTTCAATAAGGTAACTAGATCTGAGAAATCCGTACCATAAGTGTGGGAGAACTCAATCTAAATAAAAAAAAAGAACACAATCTAAATCTTTTGTGAATATAGTCAATATTAATGTTAATTAATAGGCTTTTATCGTAGATGTGTCCTATTTCAATTGACATTCGAAACAGAGTCACGATTTCTCCTCTCCTTATGTTACCAATATGTTTGTTATTTTAATAATAATATATTTCCATAATTTTAAACAATATAATGACTAGTAAAATGAAGAAAATGTGCGATTTCGCTTGCGTACGAAAAAGATTTTAGTATTGGGGTCATATTTGACCCGGCATCCGCTGCGCCGTGTGTGCAACTATCGCACCATCGAGGGTTAATTGTACGAAAAGAAATCAAACACATATTTTGTCGTTCATATTTTTAACAAGCGTAGATATTCGTATAGAATAAGAAATGAATATTTTACATACATGCTTACTTCGAATAAACAAATTTTTATAATCCAGCAATTAGACTTTCTGTTTGAACGCAACTTAATGCCCAAAGCACTTGGGCGAGTTTTCAGTCGTGCAGCGTAGAGAACAAAGCTACTTGAACAATCAAGCTAGTTCCGGCTTTACACATTCGACTGACAATAGGCACACGGTTTCGCGTTTCAGGATTTGAATTCGAGGGTCCAGATGATTCGTGAAGCCGAAGATCGCTGAGAGAAGTCTAACTCTCGCGTTAAGCATATGCAGATCCACTCGTCTATCCCGAGACAATAAGAGCTGGGCGATGGCACAATAGCAACGATCCTTGTGTAACCCTGACTTAAGTCCCAGAGTCTATCCCACTTCGGGTCATAATCCCAGACTTCTGCGAAACCGAGGAAATGGAGAACGGGAGGAAGCAATGAAAGAAGGAGAAGGAGGGAAACTTGGTTTCACCGAGTTCATCCAGAGAACAACGAAATGCTTATTAACGAAAAAGCCTCGCGGTATCTCTTAATCGATAACGAAACGGAATGATAACTGTGTTATCGTTCACCAACATTTATATAGTCACATAACTTCACTGCCTCGAGTAATTTTTGAAGCATACGTTTTGCGGCCAAAATTTTTTATACAACAGTTACCTACAGGTATCGAAGGGAACGTAAGAGTTGAATTGGCTTTTTGCATAAATTTTCATGTGTGAACATTTCTAAGATACTATTGAGTTTTACTTATTCCAAATCTAAGAGTTAGTGTAAAACATTCGTAGTCAAGCTATTTCATTACAACAGCTAAAAGTGATATTTGTTGTATACATGATATAATTAAGATTTCAAATCTCTAATCATCAGTAAATTGAACGTTACTTTAATCTTCTAATTCAGATTCACGTCGATGCGAAGATCAAGCGAAGTATTAAGAAATTAAAGGAACCGTCTTGACTTCAACAGTTTACAGTGACCTTATTAAAATGCAAATATTTTAATCAAAAGAATTTAATTAACAAGTGATTACACTGAAATACTTTAAACCTTAAATTTTTACAAACCCTTAACGCACCAGTAAAGAGCAAGATAATTATCGCATAAATTTAAACATTATACTTTCACGTACTTTGCTTATCTCCACTAGTTTAATGACG